AAAATATAGACTCAAAAGAGCTAAAAAGTTGATTCGCTTGGCCGAAAGCGGTGAACTGTCAGCAATTTGTAAACAAACAAAATGATCGTGTTTACTTGCCAAAGAGGTCAGCTGAAAATGTGCACCTTGGGTTGGCCACCAGAACTCAAGCGCCGGCCGTGGTGATGGTGTGGCCGCCATAACAGCCGATGGTCGCTCTCCGCTCGTATTAATCAACCGTGGCATCAGAATAAATGCCGAATATTATCGCGAAAATATTCTGGAGGTGTATTAAAGCCTTGGGCACGCAAACATGTTGGCCGCAGACCTTGGACATTCCAACAGGTCTCAGCACGCGCCACCCACGAATGATAACAAAATGAGGTTCCTCGCTTCATTTCCAGCGCACAATGGCCACCAAAATCTCCGGATACCAATCCGTTGGAGTATTGTGTCTGGAGTAGTTTGGAAAGCATTGTGTGACGTTTTCATTGGCCGTTTGAAGACATAATTCGTGCCAATGGTGACCAATTCGAACAAAATCTAAGCTTATTCTAAAATTTGATGTTATTTCCTGCATTTTTTGCTTTCATTCGATAAAATTTAAAAAAATGTAAAAAATATGGCGTTTGACTTTGTTGCAGGTTTTTAATCTCACCCTGTATTTATAAAGATACTAGAGGAAGGGTCCCGAAAATATCATCTTAATGCGAGATCTAATGCTGACTGATGTCCAATCAACCATCTTCAAAAAATATTGGAATATAATTTAATTTAATTAATTTATTTTGTTTTTTTTTTTCTATTAGCATGTGCCAAGTTAGGTGGGAATCGTGCACTCAAATCACATTTTACGAGAGAAATTATCCATAATTTTGACCAATATTGCCAATTTTCGAACCTGAATTAAGGGTTATCTAATTATTACCATGTTTTAGCTCAATATGAGATTTGTATTTTTTATTTTGCAAAAGAATTATAATTTTTGGAGAGTTATCTTGCGCACAAACAAAAAGACGGACGAACGGACATGGCTAAATTGATTACAACTGGGAGTAAGAGCGTTTTTTTCGATGAGACAAATTTTAAGCCCCATCAAACACCCTTCGTAGTCAAAAGGCTGAAGGAATGACCTTGTTATTATAATATTTTTTATTCAATAATTAATTAATTTATTTATTTTTCATTTGTTCGTTTATATAAATTAAAAAAAATTATTTATACATTTCATAATTCATTATTTTTTTTATATTTTTCTTTATTTATCTTTACTTTTTCAGTTATTTTCATTCACTTGTTTATATATATTTTTAGCTTTTACTATTTTTTTATTTTGTAATTTAAATTAAGCTTCTGTAAATGCCATTATTCTTCCGCGAAAACTGGCTTCTAGACTGTTGTACAGTATAACAACGTATACCTTGCATGCAGTAGGGTATCATCCACATACCTATCCTAAGTAGCCAATCGGCCTAACTTTTTTCAACTCTGTACTTTGAGGTTTTTCTATTCGAATATAAGCGAATAAAAACATACATTAATATTAACTCAAAATTTCCATCATATTCGCAGCCAACAAACGCTGACACCCCGGGTGCCCCCTGCTGGGCAAATCCCCACTGCTCCGGGGGAGGGCAAGTGTTAAATAATTACATTGTTTTTGTTTCTTGGACAGCAATTAAAATTATAATATTACATAAAAGCGTTTTTCTCGTTTCTTTTTTTGTGGGGTTTTATTTTTATTTTTGGGTTTTATTTTTATTTTTTTCGCTGCTCGACTTTGTTACCAAAAACCAAAGTGCGAAAATCTTTTGTTTACGCTTCAAAGATTTATTAGATTAAAGCTTCCCAGCAGTACGAACGGACGGACGTCGGGTACGCCCGCCTCCACTGCCAGCTGGCGCTGTCACTTTAAATGTCTCCGTCGTCGTCGTCGTCGTATTGGGTTGCAATGCTGGGTTGTTCCACCACTTCCTCGTAATAACACCACATTAAGCCGGTCGCGTTGTTGTCTCTATTATGTTTGTTTTTTTCCCTCTCTCCCATTTTCCGTTTTCTTTCTTTTGTGACTTTTGCAAAGCGTTTTAATTATAATTGTAATTTACTGGACTGAATTTGTTATAAAGCTGTGGGAATTCCACGAAGAAGCATTCAAGAAGAAAATCTACAGTTTCTGTGAAATCTGTTTCAGACTCTTTCGCCGAAAGACTGTGAAAAATTGGTGTGTCAACTAAAAACTATATCTATGAGTTAATGAGTTAATGAGGAACTCTTGCAAATAACTATAATTTCGATTTCCACATTGTAATATCTCTAAGCTTCATTATTTTGAGAAGACTATTAATTATTGGAGAAATTTCCCAGAAAAAGCTATTCATTTTTAACACTGAATTTTCATCCACAAAGTATAGAACGTACAAAACGTACTTATTACAAATCGGGCTACCAACCACTTATTTAAACAGGGGCAAAGTCAATTAATATGTATTTGCCTTCATCGACCTTGTGGATGAAAATTCAGAGTTAATAACTTAATATTTTTGCTAGGAAAGATCTCCAATAATTGTTAGAACCTTCGTAAATAATAACATATAGATCACTTCAAAACCTCGGAATGTTCGACGTATATATGAAGCGCATCTGATCTTATATATATTTGTACATTTATATAGACGGTTTAACCTCAAAGGGTTGCCCATCTAAAAGTTTTAAGGTGCCTATCTTCGGAATGAATTGAGGCAGAGTCAAGAAAAGCGTTGAAATTGATTCTTAGACAACTATTTTTCCCAGAATGTTAGGAACGTTTGCACAACCAAACAAGGCTAGTTAAATTTTTCAAAGAACGTAATTTTTGCTTGCTACCTTAAGTTTAGCTACATCTTTTCAAAATCTAATTCGAAGCATTTTAATTGTAATTTTAGAATTCTGTTTGTAATTTGAATCACTTGAATTCTAATTCGGAAATTCCAATTTAATTCGAATAATTTCATTTAAAATCGAGAATTCCAAGAATTATTTCAACTGTAATTCGAATTATTAGAACTTTTCCATTTAAAATTCGAAGAAAAAATTGAAATAATTTGAATTACAAAAGGGAAAAATCGAATTACAAATCGAATAATTCAAATTACAAATGTAACAATTCAAAATACAAATAGAATAATTCGAATTACAATTGGAATAATCAAATTACAACAGAAATAATTCGAATTTCAAATGAAGTTCTCGAAATCCAAAAAAGAATGTTACGAATTAAATCAAAAGTTATTCTAATTACAACTGGAAAAGGTATAGATTTAAGAAGAAATATAAAATGCAAATTTTGGGCCATGCATCAGACGAATATGGTTGTAAGTTGTTATGAACTTCTTCCAATCCACATTGTGGTATGTCATATAATGGTATGGCTGTCCAAGCGTGTTCAATATAGTTTCACGTTTTAATATAGTGTTAAGACACTATAATAGGCGTTTCAATATTTTCCAATTAATTTTTTTTAGTTTCCTATGACCACACCTCACTCTCTTTTGCAGAAAATGTCCCCTACACTGAACAATGTTACATATCTAGAAATTGAATATGGCTTGGTACTACAAGCAAAGACATAAAACTATAAAGATGAGACAAAAGGCATAATGCCGTTTACTTTTTCCATATAGCAATAGACGTCCTACGACATAAATACGAAATATGTTATCAGAAATTATAGATATGAATTCAAACAAGTAAAAAAGCAGTAAGTTCGGCCAAACGGAAAGAAATTGTAAATTAAAAAAAAATCTGTTAAAATATTAAGAATATAAAAATAGGGAGTCCATAGGCAATTTTTTGTCATAGCCATTATAGTATTCAAATACGAAACTTGAAACAATTCGGATGAATAATATCGGAAAAACATTAAAATACCGAATATAGGGAGGTACCGTTATATGGGGGCTATACGAAGACTTGGACCTATATAACTCTTTTTCAATACAAAATGTCCTGCAGACCAAACACACATTTGTGTAAAATTTGATCAACCTACTATTTTATCAACCTGTATATTTTCAGGTGTTACAAACGGTATGACAAACATAAATTACCCCAGATACTACGAGGGTATAAAATCTATTAAGAGCATGTCTTTGTATATTAAGTTAAGAGTATAACATAATGCTTCGTCATGATATGGTGACATAATATTTGAAGGTTAGTAAATCCAATCCACTTCTTCTGGCACCTCCCCAACAAAGAGTTGTAATTGTGAATAATTATAACTCAAATAAAAATGTGACTTTAATCAGTATTTTCTTCCAACTAAGCACACTGAAATCAAATGTATTTCAAATATCGATCCACTTCTTCCAATAATTTTTAAAAATTCGAAATTAATGTTTGATTTTAAATTTTGAACATCTCAATATTTCGTTAAATGTAAAATCCATATGCTGAGGGTCTATATGCCTGTCATCTAACCACCATACGACAACGAAAATTAAGTAAACATGGGTTTTAAGGACGAAAATTCTAAGGAAATTAAAAGGGTTTTTAGGGTAGAATTTCTCGTTTATGCTGAGAACCCCATTTCCAAAATTTTGCCTTACATTTGGAAAATTTATCCCAATTGATTTAAGAGCGTCAAGACCTCGTTTAATTTATATTTATTACTTATCGGAATATTAATTTTAAATTTAATTTAATTATATTTATTTTTTAATTTCTTTCCAGAACTTGTCATTTTATTATTTGTAAATAAAGTTATCTTTTGTATTTTTGTTTTAATTTGGCATATTTTCCTCAATTGTTTCTTTCTAAACATTTTTTCACAATCTTTTCACTTTTCTTTTTAGTCATAAGCCATTTATTTTATTAATCACACATGTAGACGACTACATTGTTAAAACTCTTTAAGGTGTCCTTGAAGTATTAATCGGTGTTTTATCCATTTCACCAGTTCCATTTAGTTTCAATTAGGCACGCGGTGCAGGGAAATTCCACTGTAAAATAGCACCAAATGCAGGCACCCAAGTCGTGCTTACCATTTTTTTGTTGTTGTTTTCAAAAGGTAATCCTCTGGGTTATTCCTTCTAACGAAAACGATACACACAATTCGGAAAGACCACAAACAAAATATATAGTTATGGAAAAGATAGTTTTCTCTTGTTTTTTTTATAGATTATTTTTCGCACATATTTTTGTGTCACTCGTTTCGGATGTTGGCCAAAATATTTCGCACGTATTTACTTTTGACAACTTCTGCCGATGAAAATGAACCGTTCAAGCGCGCATGCGCATCTACACTGAAGCGTTCGAGGGATTTGTTACAGGTATCTAGTCTAGCTGCAGTAACTACTAGCCAACCAGCTAGGCAGGTCAACAAACAAACAAATACCAAAACAATGGATGTTGCCGTTGGATTATCACTGCCTGCCAGCCTGCGTCAGGTAAAATGTGAGTTCGTCGCAAAGCAACGGAGAAACAAATGAGAGCGAGAGCATGCCACTCATATTAATTGCAAACGACGACGACGACGAACGTAAACAAAACAGCAAACCATTCATACAGTTATGCACCCAACCACCCACTGGCTGGCAGCAAACTGTTATAAAGTGGCATACACGTGTGTTTGTTTACATATGTTGATGTTTCTTTTTGCTCTTAATGGCCATATAGCTTATGGAACTTACATACACATTCACACATGTATGTAAATAAAGTAGGTGATAATTAAATGATTTGATTTACATCGTTAATAACAATGTAATTAAAATGCGAACATAAACAAATATGCATAGTTTATGTGACTCCACTGCAGAGGAACATGTTAAAACATTTCGAAAAGGAAAGAAGATTTTGCATAATTCCTTGTTTTATTGTTTAAGTTTTTTCGGATCCATACGAAATGTACTGATATATTTATATTTCTTTAGAATTTGAGAAAAATCCAAAGTAATATAAGATTCATTCAGGATTCATTAAGAATCCCATTTTTTCACCAAACTAGTTATTTTCTACTATTTACAGTGTTAGACGCTGTAAAAATGTATTGAAAACAATCGGAAATACACTCTCCTATGTTCTTTAGACGCTGATTTTGTTTGGCTTGATAATGTTTGTCCTTACTCGTCTTTTGAAGTACACCTTTTTGCTTAACGTACCCAAACGCATATACAAACAAATAATATCCAGAGTCCTATACGAATGGTAACATATTTAGTATCACTTTGTACTTTTTATGTCTTTTCGAACGAATTTCCAAATTTCAGAGCTGTTGCTCTTCGCGGTCGCTTCGTACTTGGATTGGAAAAGTATTTAGTACATTTTACTATATTTCGTACACTTTTAGTATGGGTTTCTAAAACCATTTCCATTTATTAAACCATCCCAACCGCAAATACGAATGATAACATATTTAGTACAACTTTGTATTTTTTGTGCCATCTTGTACACTGAGCTTTCTTTTTAGTATTGAAAAATATTTAGTACAATTTACTACTTTTCGCACACTTTTTCTACGAATTTTAAAAACCATCTTTTTTTATCAACCCTACCCACCAGCATTGATTCTATTCATTCACCCCAAACCAAATTGTACCAAATTTAATACAGTTCTTACAGTTACTCAAGCGCCGGCCATGGTGATGGTGTGGCCCACCATAACGTCCGATGGTCGCTCTCCGCTCGTATTAATCGACCGGGGCATCAGAATAAATGCTGAATAAAAGCCTTGGGCACGCAAACATTTTTGCCGCAGGTCTTGGACATTCCAACAGCACCAACGCACCCAATAATGGTTGCAATGAGGTTCCTCGCTTCACATCCAGCGCACGTTGGCCAACAAAATCCCCGGATATGGACTATGAGGTTCCTCGCTGAGGTCCGTTGGACTATTGTGTCTGGAGTATTCTGGAAAGCAAGGTTGGCACTAAAAAATACCAAAGTGTCGATCACCTCAAGCAAGCGCTTCGCCGGGAATGGGTCAAAATACCGCAGAGCAACATTCGGGCAGCGTGTGACGGTTTCATTGGCCGGTTGAGGGTCATAATTCGTGCCAAAGGTTACCAATTCGAACATCAACTCTAATTGATCCCATCCGTTCACCTGAAAACATATTGTACAAAATTTAGTACAGTTCTTACACTTAGTTCATAGTTCATAAAACCATCTGCTTGTACTTCTCGAACGTGTTGTTCATAGAAAATTTCAAAATTTTACCTCTATCCGTTCACATAATTCCAAATGATACCAAATTTGGTGTATTTGAGTACTTTTGTTCGTACACAATAATTTGGTTCGTCAATTCTACAGAGAACATCAAAGATCCACATTCTAAATTTCAGGTAACCAGCACTATCCCGTCCCTAAATACCAAATTTAGTAGCATTTAGTACTTTTCGTACAAATCCACCGCAAAAAAGGGATACCAAATTATTTTTTCCCACTCTCTAAATGCTATATGAGAGCTTTACCCATATCTGAACCGATTTTGATAAAATTTGTTTAATATATTTCGCCGAGTATCGTTGTTACGGAGTGCAAATTACGGCTGTGGAAGAGAAATTTAACAAATCGGATGAGGAAGATATATGGTAGCTACAGCTATATCTGAACCGATTTCCCCCAAATTTGACACATTTGTTTCTTGGCTCAACTTGGTTATAAGTGCTAAACTACATCCTATTTGGACTCATATTGCACATTTGTTGGATAATAAAAAGCAAATCGGGCGAAGATATATATGGGAGCTATATCTAAATTTCGACCGATTATCTCCAATTTCAGTAGGATTCGTCCTTAGACCAAACAAATGATTTCTGCAAAATTTTATCTTGATGGGGATATAAATGCGAACCGTACAATCTATACAATATACGGACATGCATAAATCGGCTCAGAATGTGATTCTAGGCAGATCATCAAAAGTAAATATGGGTCCAACTCACTTCCTTCTCAATGTTACCAACAAATGCAAACATTTCATATGATACGATCATAAAAACATCCACGATTACAAAAATCTTGTCCAAGTAATATGATTTCGAAAATACAAATGGCATTGTGTGAACCTATTTACAATTGATCGGGAATTAGATCACAATCGTATAGTTTTTATGACTGAAACAATGCGCACTCTCTCTCTCTCTCTCTCTCTCTCTCTCTCTCTCTCTCAAATGTGTACTGCAATCGATCTAATATCCATTCCAGATGCGTGAGATTGCTATTTTCACATCGAATCCAATCACTACCCGGCTTATACAATCGCCATCAATAATAGATCACAAATATCTGCAAAAATAGATTATTTTCAAATGGCAGTGGCATCGTAATTGGAGAAAGCCATCGCATAACAAATAAATCCGCAGCGGATGAAATGGAAATTTAAAGAAAAAAGTCCTAATAACTATTTTGTTGGAGGTTGTTGCATAAACGACACGCAGCCGAATCTCAGGCAAATTAGCGCAAAATAGATAAACAAATGACGGCTCTTGAGCCGGCATAAATCCCAAAAATTGTCCGACAACAATTGTTTGCAAATTGTTCAGTTCAGTTCAATTTTTTTGGTTTTTAGTTAATGGAGTTCTATTAAAATGCAAAATACAAACAAACGCCTCGTCTCGCAGCCCTAATCCGTGTGCAGTCAAAACACGTTCACATAGCTCCACAGCCCGTGCCGCACTACAACCTCCGTTAGCATTCGAATATTATGGCCGGCCATTTGTAAAGTGTCCACTGGAAAATAAATAAAAAATAAAAGCACAGCATAGCCGAGGGTAAGTTCGAGTAGCGAGCTATTACTTAATCGCTGCTGCCGCTTTCGGCTACGTAATCAACCTGAGCAGAGCATTTTTTAAATGTCATTCGAACGTGATGGCAATGTCAAGTGCGTTGTATTCCCCCAATTGAAGGGTTGTGCCCGGTATTTTTTCAAATCTCTGATCAGAGGTTAAATCAACATCCAACAGAGATCTCTATTTAAAACTATTCGTTGTGCTGCTCGCTTATTCTTCCTTATGACCATAATTTTTCTTCGTCTTATTTTTGTCACATCTCCACAGGCGGCCTACTCGTTGCGTTGCTGTTCATCGTTTCGGCTGAACATGCGCCCTGTTTTCTTCCGAATTTTGGGTGACGATTGCCGCTGGCAGCGGTGGCGCTGCTGATTACCCAATGTACTTGGGCATTGGAATTTTTTTATCACCTTTTGACTTGGTTTTTGAGACTTACGATCATAATGTGGCCAATAAAAATAATTCTTTAGATTTACCGTCAAAGCAAATTGTTGAATAACATTGTTTTGTTTTCTTGTGAAATGATCTAAATTTCCTCTCAAATATTTGAAATTAGTAGCATATCCGTTGAGGGAGAGAGAGTGAGAGAGAGAGAGTGATAATGAACGGATAATACCGAGCCACAATGAATTATTGATTTCACACATTAACTTATTGTTAACAAGGAGCATGTCCTAGGAAAAGAATATGTTTCCTTTTTTGTCCGAAGAATACTATCCGTAATGCAGCCAATCGATATAAGGATGATTTTTTAGCTATTATCTTTTTGGGAACAAATGTTCAAATAGATCACACATGTTTCGTGTTTTGTTTCAATTTCAAATATCTTGAATTTGGCCTATAATTTAACCATGAATCGTTTTACAAACGACCAACGCAAGCAAATCATAAGAAAACAAGTTAAAAAGTATCAGTCGGTATTGCCGCCAGAGATATACCCTCAGCCTATGTTCGATTATCTATATATATTTTGACTAGTGTTAAGGTTATTCAAACGTTTGACCCTCTATGGAGCAGATCCCGAAGGAATGGCCCAATATTGCCCATTTCCTATCGGACCCAAAATATGATATAAATATTTCGACAGATGTGCCAAGTCTAAATGGAATCGGATGTTAATTTGGCGATTTATGTGCTTCATGGGTACTCAAAATTTCAATATTTTGTGAGGGAGGTAATTATTCAAAATTTTGACCATTTGTGGGGGAGGTACTTGATAGAGTGGACCGATATTGCCCATTTTCACACCTGACCTAGCACTGACGCAAATATTAGGATTTGCAAAGTTGGAGCAAATTCGGATTATCCTTTATCTTCCTGTGCAAAAAATATATTTTTTTGAAAATTTCGACCTTTTGTGGGGGAGGTACCAGAAGGAGTGGACCGATATTGCCCATCTTCGAACTCGATCTAAGTTTGACAAAAATATTACGTTGTAGCCAATTTGGACCAAATCGGATACTCCCTTCGAGAGTTATCGTGCGCATCAGCCAGCCAGACAGACGGACGGACGGACGGACGGACATCGCTAGATCGACTCCAAATGTTCTGAAACGGATTTGGTCCAAAGAGACCTAGGGTCTAAAACCGTTATTTCGACTAGGCACGTTTTGGCCGTATCAAAT